CTACCCCAGTAAGTACACAAACAGTCTATACAGCATTTCGCAATCCATCAGAATGGAAGCAGCTCTTTAACAACAGCCTAATGATGCAGAATGATCAGATACCTGCAGTGCAGCCCATGGCATCCAGAACCTCCTCTCTTAAGCAGAGAGAGATTCAGGATGAGGAAACAATGGCTCCCACCAGGCCACGCTTCAGCTAGATCCAAAATGCTTCAGTGAACCCGCTCCATCAGGATGGGATACTGCAGGACTACCTGTGGCATCTCCTCAGCAACCCAGCTCATCACTGCCCAGAGATCAGAGAGAAACTTCCAGCAGAGCTGCAGTGCTCTGAGGTGTGTGCCAAACAGGAACTGGGCTTTCACAGGGATCACTTGGAAAAGGAAGTGCAGTAAATGGACCACATTCCTTTTATTACAGTCAAGGGCAAAGGCGACTGCAGTCGACTCCGGGTTATGGTGGAAGTCTACCTCTGCTGGAACCCAGTAAATCAAGAGTGTTTGCAAGGGCTTGGCTGCATAGAAGAGTGACTCACAGAGTGACAACCTTCCCTGCACTTCCATTACAAACCCAGAATGTTCATATACAGAGTTGCTGTACCATAAACCCCCTCACCAGCTTATTGCATTGTCATTTCCTTATGCAGACAAGCCCTAAAGCCGTGAGAGGCACCTTTGTTAGGAAGAGCAGACTCGTGAGCAGCTGGACACAGAACAGGGGAGGAGGAGCACGGACTTGTGAATGCTCCAAGCTCAATGTACACAGCTCCTATACACAAGTGAATACACGTGTCCGAGTCTGCAGCTCTTCATAGCTTGGTTTGGCCAGGAGCACCGAAATCTCACCTTGGTCCTTCTGGGAATGACAGGCACCCAGAGACAGTAAGAGAACACTCGGAAAGACAGGGATAATGCTCCTCACTAACACATCTTCCTACATGCAGTTGCAAGAAGCAGGTTTGTCTGAACTCTCAAATCACATCAATACATGGTCACTAGAGGCTGCATTTTCCCAGTAGCAGCTGGTGGGAGATTCCCTGGTAGAAGCACCAATTATGGAACAAAGTAACCTAGCAAAATTCCATGGAAACTCAGCTTTACCAACTGGTGTGAACAGGATGTAAGGGAAGCAGGATGGGTCACAGATACTCCAAGAAGCTTGCATGTGAGTGCATATGTGCAGGGTTAAAGAAGCAACTCCCTAATAGGAGTCAGACTTGAAAACATCGTTTGTTTTTCCCTTCCATCTGGACTCCAAGTCAGAAACGACAGAGATTCCCACTGCCCGCTGTCCTCTCCCTTCCACACCCTCTCCTCATTGGCACGAGATAAAACCTTGGGCAAACAGCAGCAGCAATTTCCAATTCTCATTATCTGACGGCAGCAGTAGCTCTTGGTGAAACTTGCAGTCAATAAACTACAGGCAATTTTAACAGACACAATGGGAGCTGCCCCTCCCACAGCTGCCCCATTATCCCAGCTTTTATTACATTTAAAGCCAGTGGTTTTTATGCTGGAGCTGCAGTTGTGCAGAGCCATGAAAACAGACCACCAATAAAGATAAAACACTCCCAAATTAAACAGGAGACGTCACAGCAACGTACTCTGAAGTCCGAGAGCTTCTCAGAGCAAAGCACAGGCCACGGAAGGAAACCCGGAGCCTGACTGGGCTGATGCTGCTGCCACCAGCCACTGGTGACACAACCACAGCTTCCCACAGCTGGGGATG